AAAAAAAAAAAAAAGAAAAATTCCTCGGCCTCCCAAAGTGTTGGTGTGAACCACTGCACCCAGTCCCTCCTTCCTTTTGACAGCTGTGTATTACTCTATTGTGTAGATGTTGATGGCTGTTGTGAGACCTCAGTTTTTGTCTTCTTAGTTTAAAGGAATTTAAACAAGAGACATACAGCAAAGGAGATGCATCATAGAGCAATTTATTGCAAAGCAAGAAGAATATTTTGAAAGTAAAGTGCAGAAGAAACAATATACCTGAGAGAGGATTCAGGGCGGGACAGCCAAGCCTGGCGGGAAACTCCCTTCATGGGAGACTTACATGATTATTCATAAAGGAGTGGGAAGAGGTGCTACTAGGAAGCATGTAGGGGGCGGTCCTCTGGGTGTACATGCACAGTAGCTGTACATGCCCATTCATACCCACATGTCTCATTAGCACCTTAAATCTCTACCCAGGCATGTGGTTTTACTATTATAATGAGCAAAGGGTCAGTCTGAGGACAGGCAAAATCAAAATATGCATGCTGTCTGTGGGGGAAATTCTCTGCTAGAGACAGCTTTGCCTGAATGAGCTTGACTACAATGTGAATGCTGGGGCTTATTGTGTTGACTGTACAGTCACCACTATTGTTGTGTCCTGAGTTGCTTCCTTGAGTACCTAACCTGCTTCACAGATACACCACTGTTTATTCAACCAGTCCCTTATTGATATGCAGTAGTAGATATCCCAGTCTTTTACAGTCACAAATAGCTCTGCCATGAATTCACAGGCACCACTTTTGAGTGCCTATTACATGCTTACCGTATATCATCTTATTAATCCTCACTACCATCCTGCAAGTTTTCCTCATTTTACCTATGAGAAAACTAAGACTGCTAGGTTGCCCAGAGCCTCATTACTATGAGTTTCTTGAAGGTTGTGTCTTATTTTCCATTGCATTCCTGACATTTTACTGAATGAATAAATGTAACTCAACTAGTAAATGGCAGTGCAGGGAACTGAAGCCAGGGCTGTAAGACTAGATCTGTCTAGCCCCAGAGGTTGCATTCATTGTAGTCTAGCAGTAGAAATGGCCATCCACAGGGAGTGCACAAATGATTCATTTGTTTGTGGATAGAATATAACAGGATATCTAATTAGGGTTTGTTTTTTTTTTGTCTTTATATATGTATTTTTTGAGATGGAATCTTGCTCTGTTGCCCAGGCTGG